GAGCAATTCTAGTTGTTTTTAGAGTTTTTTGAATTAATGCAACTTGTTTCAATTTTCTTTTACAACCCCAAGTGAGAAACGTCACGTGACGTAGCGTCACGTGACATAAATTTCCATCGTTATATTTTTGTTAATATTGCTTTTAAATGAATTTTTAACGCAAATAAAACTTGTATTTTATGTAGAATATACTTTATATTTTGACTTCAGCGCCAATTCAGGGTGAATTTGTTGGGAATCTATGACTTATTATGTTTCAACTACATACGCCAAATCGGACCATACGGTTTTTCGAAATATCTCAACCTTGGCGCCACCTAGGAAGACCATTTTACGCAAACATGATTCTACTTACATAGCCAGTATATATTTTAAAAAGCAGACAAATTGGCCCGTAAATACGTTAGATATAAGACTTTTATTTTTTTTGTCGTGGTGGACCTTCCGATGGAAACACCCATATGCAACCCTGTATTTGTACCAAACAACCAAGATTGATTGATAGGTTATTTAATCAATCACACCAAATCCCACCGAAAAACAATCTGCTTTTCAGCACAAAATGTAAACAAACAAGGAAATGCAACAACAATTTCAAGGAACAAGCAGCAGTGCTGCCAATTGTTTGGCATATTTAGACAAAGTAGATCTGAAACCCAACGAAAGTTAACTGGCATTTAGACAACAATCCACAATTAAACTTAAGTGCCATTTAAATATTCATTTGAAATTGGCACTAAGTGTGTACTATAAATGTATATAGGCAATTCTCAATTAGTTCGAACTCTCGCATGACTCAACAATTTTTATTCCGGTACTAAAAAATAAAAGTGTGACTCTTCTATTATATTTTTTCTTTTACGTTGCACAATTTGGTGCGCTGATTGCTCATGTTTGAGTTTATAATGAACTGGTAGTATTTGGAGAGTAGAATCGAATGCAGCCAGTTAGAAGTATGTGCTTGCAAAAGAAAAGAAGTTATGAAGAGTCAAAGTTGCGTGGCTCATTTTTTTTAATCTGACACTCGCGGCTTTTATAGTATACTGTAGCTGGTGCGTACCTAAAACTGTTATCAGACAACTTTTATAGTGTTCTGTAGCATAAAAGGAATCAATCTAGGCGTGGCTGGCTTATGTGCTCGCATTAGAAGATAATTAAAAACAACTTCTTTAAAAGGTGCACAGAAGTGAAAATACATATTTTTTATTAGCTCATCGTCTGCAATTGGAAAATTTAGCCAAATACGTGTGTGCTCTATTGTATAATATACTATTGAACTATGACAATTGTGTTCGACAATTTTTTTTATATGAAATAAAATGCGAAGCACCGTCAACAAAAAAAAAATGCAGCGGTAAGTCCTAGATACTTAAAATTTGCACTTTGGTACACTAAGATTTGATGGGCTACAAAATTTAATATCAAAATTTTATCTAAAGATGCTGATAAAAAAGTTAGAAATTTTGGTCAAACTTTGCAGAATTAGATTTATATCGTGTTTGTTAAGTACTCAGCTATTCTTTCATAAAAATAAACATTAAGTAAACTAAAAGAAAAAAAAAATAGCCAAAACATACTAAAATATCGCGTCCCAGGTTTTATTTGGTACACTGTTTGTGTATATCGGTAACTGATTTATCAATTTGTACCAAAATCAGTACGATTATTGACCTTAGCATAAAAAAGCTATATGTTGAAAATTTCCGAAATCGGATTAAAATTACGTCCCCTTTCCACTTCCAAAAAAAATACGTGTAACAAACATTAAAAACGTATGGTGCGTTGCTTTAAAACGTTGCATCATGTTGGATTTTGTATTCTAGCAGCTGAAGAAACGTATACTAAAAATTTCAGACATGTTTAGACATATATATGAACTATGTACCAAGGCATATTAAATAAGGTAGAACTGAGTTTGACATTTCTCTCTTTTGAACACCGACTATAATATCAAATGATGAATAACTTTTAACCCTTTTCAAGTTGGCATTTTCTATTTTTCAATAAAAATTTAATTACGTGCTGTGAGATAGTTTTGAATTGTGTGAATTTTTTTGTTTTTCGACAACATCCATTTATAGATGCATATACAAAAATGAAAAGGAGGAGGAACTACGAGCGTTGCATTGTGTGTGACAAGAGCCAAGACGTTAAAGTGGTGCGATACTTTAAAGCGCCTAGATGCAAAGATAGAACACTTCGTTGGGAGAACAGCTGCGGTGTTCAATTGGAAGATTCTTTCCGTGTCTGTGAAAATCATGTATTACTTGCGCATTGCAGGCAAATATTTGTAAGCGCCAAATTCCGAAACAAATTTTCGCTTTTAAAATTAGAATTTAATTTTGTAGAATTTTGACGGTTACTCCATCGTTTTTGACTTTTTATTGGTTTCAAACGTCATTCTGGGTACATTGGCTGCTTGGGTTTGTTGTTCTAACATTATACAGGGTGTCCCAGAACTCATCGTCAAGCCGAAACGGGGTGACAGGATTGATTGTAACCATCATGAGAAAAATCAGAAAAAAATCTATCCCATGCAGTTTGAAAATTATGGGCATTTAAGAAAAACCTAGAAATTTGGTCAAACTGTAACCATTTTTTGGTTATTGTGGTTAATTTTTATTATTTTTGTTCATTTAAACTTTGGAACCTTAACCCTAAATAACATTTCTAGGACCTAAGTCAAAAATAATGACACAATTGCCCCAAGTTTTCTAGAATTAAGACTATTTGTTAAACTATGAATTTAAAATTTCTGAGTCGAGATGGGCACGGGCCTAAATTTTCAGGCCCGACCCGGCACGAGTGCAAAATCAACTTTCAAAAACACGCACAAGCACGCACGTTAAGAATTTTAGTGGGGCCCGGCCCGGCACGACGGGACACGCCCCAGCCCGGAAATAAAGAGCCAACTTTTATTGTATGTATACATATGTACATATTTTTACTTTTGTGTTTATGTCCATATGTATATTTACCTAAGGGAATCAATATTTTACATCAAAGATTTTTATAATATATTTTCTGGGAAGTAGAAAAAGTGGAAGGTATTTTATGTACAGATATGTATGTAAACAAAACTACTAAATATCATATATTTTCTATCGGTTTCCAAAAATTTTTTTTTTTGCTTTTCTCTTATCAAAAGAGTTTTAAATATGTACTATTTTTTTTTTTTGTATAAAAACAAAAGCTCATCTAAATTTTTATCATCAAAACATCAAAATTTTTTTTTCAGTAAAATTTAATATGCATCTATACGACATTAGTGATCGGTCCAAGATATAAGTATTGTTGTATTTATCAAAAACCAAAATAAATAACGCACTAATAACGATTTTAAACTTTTATAGAACCAATTGAATTTTCAATTTAATTCAATCAAGATATATATTTTATTTAAAACAATGCATTTATACACATATGTATGTACATACATATAAATCAAATATATATCTTGATTGAATTAAATTGAAAATTCAATTGGTTCTATAAAAGTTTAAAATCGTTATTAGTGCGTTATTTATTTTGGTTGAAGTGTATATATACTGCTGCAAATAATTATAAACTCAAAGTGATTTTAAATGCAATGCAAAAAATTTAAAACTAATTGCTGGATTTACATAGTCTCATAAAATTATAAGTCCGAAAGAAAAAACTTAAAAAATTACATAGTATGTTATACCGTTAATACGCTGCTAAACTAAACTGCTAAATTATAAAAGAAACTTTTTTTTCATAAGAGTTTACAGAATTTAAATGATTTAGCAGAATTCTAGCGATTTTTTTTATTAATTTGGCGGGACGGCAGAAACAGAAATGGCAACACTGGTGGTGAGTACCGACTTGCTTGCGCGCATGTTAGCTGTTTTGTAGTTCACTTTTGCATTGTCAGCGTTCAGTTAGGGATGCAAATTTTCAGAGCCAACATCGATACATCGATATTTCGATGTACTGAAGAAATGTATGGATCGCGTTTTGAAAGTGCTACACGTTCAATATTTATTGACGGTATTGCGATCCGCGATCCAGATTTCAAAATTTTTATAAATTTTGCGATATGGATCACGATCCATCAATACTGCATACTACACCGTCAATAAATATCGCGATACTTGGATCACGTCAATAAATACTGACCGTGTGACAGAGCCCAAAGAATATAACATAAAGATGTGAACGCAATGGCAATTTTGAACCGAAACTAAAGTCGATGTTTAAAACATCGTTAGAATTGACATCGATATATCGCCAATTTTACGATGTTGAGTAATTTTCAAATATCGATGGTAAACATCGGTTTTTTAGCCGATGTTATCGATGTTTCAGAAACATCGATGCATCGTTTGCATCCCTACGTTCAGTTGGTCGCAAATTTTCGAAGGGAGGGATTGTTCTTGCGCAGATAATTTTTGNTACTTGTTATATGACGGTTTTCTACCGACTGAGCCTAGTGGCAGCGCTCGGCTCTCTTATTTACGAACACATTCGCAAGCAAGATCGTTAACACGTTATTGTTCGCCAGTATGAATTAGCACATACTATTTTTTACATATGTATAATCATTTTAAACTTTATTGATTTATTAATAAAAAAATTAAATTGGTCGGCATTTCATGATGTTGAATTATTTTTAGTAAATAGACTACAAATATAGTTAGAAATTGTTCCTCTATAAACAAAGAGGTGAATGTAATAGCCTTTGACAATATACATTGCATAAAATGGGTTAATACACGTACACGGCTATTGCTCACCCTTTCGGTTTTAAATTTTTACCCCGCATCAAGCCCCTGCTTGCCCGCGCTGCTGTGCGCGAGCTGTTCTGCCGCCCATCCCTACCCTAAGCGATAGTTTAATTATATTGAAAACTTTTTTGTTGATAACAAATGTGTCACACTTACAGTTTGAAATTTTCACAATGCCCAAATAACTTTAGCCCAATATAGTGATGATAATACAGTATTTACATATATTTTTTCTTTTTACAAAATTTATAGAGCATTTGTGCGGTACTTTACATGGCTATAAGCGTTTATCTCACTGGTAATAATACAGACGAGAGCTTTCGCATATATTACTTCGTTCTGCTCGCAGTTTTGGCCACGTTAAGTGCACAAGCCTGGGGTTTCTTCGTAGGTGCAACGCTGCCAACCAAGGTGAGTTCAATTTTTTTAATTACGATTTTGAAATTATTCTGAAACTGATCTCATTCATTCATAGTTGGCCGTCTTTTTGGGTCCTATTTTGGCGGTTCTCTTCTCGGTGTTTGGCTTCTGCACGCGTTACATCGACATTACACCGATCTTCCGCTGGATGTGGCATATTAGCTACTTCCGTGCCGGTTTCCATGGAGCACTTAATGCCATTTATGGTTTAGAACGCCCATTCTTACCTTGTCCAGAGACTACGATGTATTGCCATTTTCGCAGTCCGAAAGTGTTTCTCAATTACATGATGATCTCGGATGTCAATATGGCCGACTGTGTTACACTGATGGTTGTCGTGATTGCTGTTATGCATGTACTCACACTTATTACGCTCTGGCATAAGTTGAACAAGCGTTAATTAACCAAATATATGTACATAAGCGTACATATACACACATTTGCAGGTACATTAAAAGTTACACAAATTTAGTTACAAATACGAGCCAAATACGTACATATGTAGGAAAGGAAAATATTTTGCAAATAGAAATGCATCTATACGGTTTATGGTTTTTAATTATTTGAACTCATGGTCTAAGAATGAATTCAATCGCAAAGTTTTGACTCATTACTTCACAAAAAAACAAAAAACACGCATTAACATACATATATTGTACATTTATACGTATAAATAGTAATTATGATAACTTAGTAAGTAAAATAGTATTAAAAACATAAACTCTTACAAAATTCGTCGTTAGAAAAAATTTAATTTATCAATATAGCTAAAACTTGTAGTTTAGTTTAGTAATTTTGCACTTGCCAATTTTATTCAATGAAAAACTTACCAAAAATCTCTAATAAGAGTTATTTTACTTTAATTGGAAAGCTAATAATTTGTATATTTTCTAAACTTTTTATTACATATTTAGTATGTGTCAAAATTTAAGATGTAAACTTTTTATATAAAATCTGAAATGTTATTTGACATTCCTACTGTACAAAAATTAATCAGAGAAATGTGATCAATAAGTAAATATTTAGTTTAATTGTAAGGTTAATATTATTTGTGAACCCTAACAAAACCATTTTCAATGATTTGCATTTGTCAAATGTGTACATTTTACTTAATTTACATATGTAAATAACAAATAAATAAAGATTGGTAAAAAGTATAAAGGTTTAATCCACTTTATTGAAGTTCAAAAAAAGGGATCTATGATTTATGAATGTAAATACTTNTCCGAAGAAATTCGGGCTATTCCGGCCGAAATGCTCGAAAAAGTTGCCCAAAATTGGACTTTCCGAATGGACCACCTAAGACGCAGCCGCGGTCAACATTTAAATGAAATTATCTTCAAAAAGTAAATGTCATGGACCAATCTAACGTTTCAAATAAAGAACCGATGAGATTTTGCAAATTTTATGCGTTTTTTTTAAAAAAAAAGGTATCAAGCTCTTAAAAAATCACCCGTTATATATGAGCCGTTCATTTTGAAAGTGGCATCAGTCACATTTTCAAAAAAACAAAGTTAATGATAACTCCAATTAGAATTTAACAGTATCTGCTATTAAGAAAAAAAATTGAATTGATATGTTAAGAACTACTGCGGTGTTGTTTGAGAGAAGTTTTACTAATGAGCGGTATAACGAAAATGTTTATTTTGAAAGTGGCATAAGTCACTAAAAGTCAATTTTGCACAAAAAAATATATACTCGCAAAAATAGGAGCCAAATATAGTAAACTGCGTTTTTGATTTCCTTCTCTGGCGTCATGATTTTTATTTACAAGGACTTTGCAATTTCAAAGATTTGATTAGTTCCAAAAATTGTTTAAAAAATCCAGTGCTATATAGAATAACAATATGGTTACCAAATAAAATATAAAGTTCTTTAGAATTGAAAAATATTAAATTTGTTGGTGCATAAGGACGAATAGGTATTGAAAATGTCCTTTTAAAATATTGTCCTCGACTATCGTTGCAAATTTGCAGTGTTTATTTTTGAAAAAATTATAGGTTAAGGATTAATATACACAAGACCATATCCTCGAATTTCGTCCTTCTACTTTAATAGTGTAAAGAATTAAAAACATTTAAAAGGGAATTTTCAATATCAATTCGTCCCTGTGTAACAAAAAAATTAAATATTTTTCAATTGCAAAGAATTTATCTTTTGTTGGTACCCATATTGTTAGTCGAGATGGGAATGTTACTCATACGCCATGTACGTACGTTCGATTTTAATTTCACGTGATAAATGTAGATCCAATATGGATCCGAAATTTTGAATTTTTAAAATCTGAATCTAGTCTTCTTGACTATTTTGTCGTTTCCGATCGCTCTTCTGTGTGGGCCATACATTTTCGTACCAAAGCGTACCGCAAATGGAAAAGAAGTCGTACTAGCGCGAATTGGGATGCTTTTCGCGCAGCAAGGAATAAAGCCACTTCAATTATTAGAGCAGGAAAGCAGCGTTTCTTTGCAGCCAAGCTGGATCCTTCTCTCCCTTCTGCTACTTTGTGGCGAAATATTAAAAACCTTCGCATAAATTCCAAGAACCAACCTAAATGTATGTTGAATGTTGATAGTTTGAATGACGCTTTTCTGTGCAGTGATTCGTCTAACGGTTGCTTGTCAAAACTTGTTCATCTGCTTCGGCCTTTTACTCTGACGTACCTTTCGAGTTCTCAACGGTATCGGAAGACGACGTGTATAGATGCATTTTGAAAATTAAGTCGAATGCAGTTGGAGAGGATGGGTTACCCATAAAATTTATAAAATTAGTAATGCCTTACATTATAAAACCGTTGACTCATATAATTAACCACTGTTTTACTACATCTTGTGATTTTCGTCCGATTAGTGTCTTGCCTGTTTTGTCGAAAGTGCTAGGAGTCTTTAATGTCTGAGCAAATTTCCTCTCACATGTCGACCAAAAACTTGTTATCACCTTACCAATCAGGCTTTAGGAGAGGGCATGGATGTTCAACCGCGATGGTTAAAATTATGGACGATTTGCGCATTTCTTTCGACAAAGGTCACATATCCCTGCTGTGTTTGCTTGACTTTTCAAAAGCATTTGGNGATCCTTCTCTCCCTTCTGCTACTTTGTGGCGAAATATTAAAAACCTTCGCATAAATTCCAAGAACCAACCTAAATGTATGTTGAATGTTGATAGTTTGAATGACGCTTTTCTGTGCAGTGATTCGTCTAACGGTTGCTTGTCAAAACTTGTTTCATCTGCTTCGGCCTTTTACTCTGACGTACCTTTCGAGTTCTCAACGGTATCGGAAGACGACGTGTATAGATGCATTTTGAAAATTAAGTCGAATGCAGTTGGAGAGGATGGGTTACCCATAAAATTTATAAAATTAGTAATGCCTTACATTATAAAACCGTTGACTCATATAATTAACCACTGTTTTACTACATCTTGTGATTTTCGTCCGATTAGTGTCTTGCCTGTTTTGTCGAAAGTGCTAGGAGTCTTTAATGTCTGAGCAAATTTCCTCTCACATGTCGACCAAAAACTTGTTATCACCTTACCAATCAGGCTTTAGGAGAGGGCATGGATGTTCAACCGCGATGGTTAAAATTATGGACGATTTGCGCATTTCTTTCGACAAAGGTCACATATCCCTGCTGTGTTTGCTTGACTTTTCAAAAGCATTTGGCTCAGTTGAACATTCACTGCTTTGTTCAAAGCTTTCTTATTACTTTGGTTTTGGTAAAAATGCACTGTCGCTAATGAGGAGTTACTTAACGGGTAGAACTCAACGTGTTAAGGTTGGCTCGGTAGCCTCGCAGATTAAACCTCTGATGAGTGGTGTTCCCCAGGGGTCCATTTTAGGTCCTCTATTATTTAGTGCCTTTATAAATGATATTCTCTCTACCCCTGNCCTCGCAATTGGATGGGAGATAGAGCCATATGGCGTTATCTCGCATGGCTTTATCGCACCCCACCCGTTTGACATGTCTGNATATGCAGATGACATCCAGATATATTTGTCCGGGCAAATCAATGATGTGGCCAGACTTACAGGCATGTTCTGCAAATCGTTTTCGGGTGATATTTTCGGAATTCCCGTTTTCATATCGTTTGACAGGTGGGGTGCGATAAAGCCATGCGAGATAACGCCATATGGCCTTATCACTCAATTCAAAGAGAGATAAAGNATAGCGGTTTGGAATTCTAATAAACGTTTTGTTGAAATAATATTTATAACAATGTAAGTCCTTACACAAATTAGCTGCTTATGTGTAAATTAAAGTTGTTAGTTAAAAACTTTTAGGGGAAAACAGAAAAACTCTAAGCAAAAGCTAATTTTAGCNTCTAATAAACGTTTTGTTGAAATAATATCTATAACAATGTAAGTCCTTACACAAATTAGCTGCTTATGTGTAAATTAAAGTCGATATTTAAAAACTTTTAGGCGAAAACACAAAAACTCCAAGCAAAAGCTAATTTTAGCCCAATTCATGGAATCTCATTCAGATCTGGCAAAGAATTTTTCGAAGGGCGACAGAGTTGCTGTTGAGGAAAAGTGGAAGAAACTGACCACATTGCTGAATGCAGAAGGGCCTCCCCATAAGGACGTTAATCGATGTAAAAAAGCAAGTTATATTTAATCAAGTATTAAAATGAATGTATTTTGAGCTGTTTTTTTTCTAGATATGGTCTGACTGGAAGGGATGCATCCGTAAAAAGGTTGCCCATAACAATTTGGAATCGAGGGCAACAGGAGGTGGCCCCTTTAATAAACACCCAGCAAAAAACACGATTACCACAGAAACGAAAGTGGAAACGAGCTAGGCGATGGGAATCGCTTACCGTTTCGCTTCAAGAAGGCCTTATTTTAACATGGGCATGTCATTGGAGGTAAGCCCTTACCCGCAGCATTACCTTCAAACGAAGGGAGAACGCATGGATAAACAGAATCCAGAGAAGCGAACAAAGAATGCCTTACAGAGAAACTAATGTAGAATGTCTAGATAAGTACATACTTATTTATATTAAATTGAAATCAGAAAATGTCTTAAAAGGTTAAAATTAATTAAAATTTTTATAAATCAGCGTACATATGTATGTATTTAGGTATTTAGATTTTCTTTAAAATCGGTATGTACATACATGCATATTTAATTAAGCTTAAAATTGTACTTCCTCACTCTTGTACGTCACTTCATTGACTGACTTCAACTTCGCTGCAAATTGAACAAAGCAAAACATGATTTATATGCGAGACAAATTTCCACAGAAAGTAACGGTAGAAAAAGAATTTTTGGATATTAATTCCATTTTTCAGCTGACTACGATGCAGCATTCTACTTTGCATTCCCCGAAATGAAGCAAAGAAGCGAAACAAATAAAATATTGTAGGACATTCTACTTTGCATTCCCGAAATGAAGCAAACAAGCGAAACATAAAATATTGTGGGACATTCTACTTTGCATTACCTGAAATGACGCAAAGAAGCGAAACAAATAAAATATTGTAGGACATTCTACTTTGCATTCCCGGAAATTAAGCAAAGAAACGAATTAAAAAATAAATATTATAGGACATTCTACTTTGCATTCCCCGAAATGAAATGAAAAAGCGAGATAAATAAAATATTGTAGGACATTCTACTTTGCATTACTGGCAATGCCTAAAAGAAGCGAAAAAATTCGAAGGCATTATAACGCTATGCCTTCTAGAACACGTTACCTCTAAAAGCGATTACCGATTTTTTGCTGGGCATGTACTAACGCCCAACGAAGAATGTGTTGCCAGAACTTGTGGAATTTTCGCGGCTGTGGAGGGCATTAATCATTCCAGAAGTTTTGGAGCCGAAGAAAGCTGCATCGCCAGTGAGTCGGAGGAAGAACGTCCGCAAACAAGTAGGGAAGCCGTGGCTACCCCGAGAGCAGCCAAAAGGCCACGAGCCTCGGAAACGCAAGACTGCCTCCAGACAAGCCTCTTGCATGGAAAAAATTTCAACCACGTTGGATGACATTTGCAAAAACCACCAAAAAATTGCAAAATCGCATGAAGGGGAAAGGGACGATATTCGACGACTTCGTCGTGCTGTTGAAAAGCAAAACGAGTTGCTGGCAGAGCAAAATCGGTTAAAAGCGCAAAGTTTGGAGGAAAAAAGAAGGCATAACATCAGAATGGAGCAGTTG